TGATGTGGAGTGACTTTGCAAAAGGTGATGTGGCGTGGCGTGACGTGACATGGCATGACTCGCCTTGGCGTGACAAGAATGGCATGATACTTGGTATGACGTGGCATTGCCTGACGTGATGAAAAATGACATGACACGGCATGACCTAATTTGGTGTGAAGTGACATGGCGTGACATGATGTGAAGTGGAGTGGCATGACGTCACTTTGTATGGCGTGACATGGCTTAGCATGACGTGACTTGGCATGCCGCGCCATGACCGAATTGCCGACGTTCGGTGTGACAAGGCGTACCTTGACGTGACACGTTGTGACAGGGTAAAGTGACGTGTCATGAGGTGACGTGGCTCTGCATGACGTGAAACGATGTAACGAAGCTGTGGTGTGATGTGGACAATCTATCTGAAAGTGAAGTGGCGGACATCGAGGCGTTTGGAGGAACTTTTCTAACTCATTCTAGTTTCATGGAAGTTAACAACTCTTACTTGAAGGTCTTTGATGCTTCCGGCGAAAACAAAAATCCAAACTGCTGTGTGTCTTTTTATCGAGAAGAACAACTTGAACCAATGCCTCCAAATCTTCACAATGATTGACTCTTGGTTGCTGACTCTTATTAGGTATTGGAGAAGTCATTAACTGTGGGACAAAGTTTCACACACGGCACTGTGACGGCGCTACACGGCGCCCAATCTAAACACATTTCTCGGGCCATATTTGTTTTTACGCAATGCGTGTCTGTTATTGTGACTTAGATAGGGATCAGCTCACATTTTAGGATCAATTTATGCAGAAATCCAGGTCATCCCAAAGTGCTTAGTGACTTCGGACATACAACGATGGGTTTTAACAATTTCAGGCAGCAAAAATGTAACATGGCATGACATGATGTGACCTGGCGCAATGTAACATAGCATGTCGTGATGTAACGTGATGTGGAGTGACTTTGCAAAAGGTGATGTGGCGTGGCGTGACGTGACATGGCATGACTCGCCTTGGCGTGACAAGAATGGCATGATACTTGGTATGACGTGGCATTGCCTGACGTGATGAAAAATGACATGACACGGCATGACCTAATTTGGTGTGAAGTGACATGGCGTGACATGATGTGAAGTGGAGTGGCATGACGTCACTTTGTATGGCGTGACATGGCTTAGCATGACGTGACTTGGCATGCCGCGCCATGACCGAATTGCCGACGTTCGGTGTGACAAGGCGTACCTTGACGTGACACGTTGTGACAGGGTAAAGTGACGTGTCATGAGGTGACGTGGCTCTGCATGACGTGAAACGATGTAACGAAGCTGTGGTGTGATGTGGACAATCTATCTGAAAGTGAAGTGGCGGACATCGAGGCGTTTGGAGGAACTTTTCTAACTCATTCTAGTTTCATGGAAGTTAACAACTCTTACTTGAAGGTCTTTGATGCTTCCGGCGAAAACAAAAATCCAAACTGCTGTGTGTCTTTTTATCGAGAAGAACAACTTGAACCAATGCCTCCAAATCTTCACAATGATTGACTCTTGGTTGCTGACTCTTATTAGGTATTGGAGAAGTCATTAACTGTGGGACAAAGTTTCACACACGGCACTGTGACGGCGCTACACGGCGCCCAATCTAAACACATTTCTCGGGCCATATTTGTTTTTACGCAATGCGTGTCTGTTATTGTGACTTAGATAGGGATCAGCTCACATTTTAGGATCAATTTATGCAGAAATCCAGGTCATCCCAAAGTGCTTAGTGACTTCGGACATACAACGATGGGTTTTAACAATTTCAGGCAAGTAGACAGAGTTGTGCAACGTCATTGTAAATTTCTTCTGTTGCATCTCATTACCGTGTTCCTCATTTTGTGACTCGCTTTGATTTTCACATTTTTACCACACGCTGAATGAAAACACAATTTATAGCTAGTTCAAAAAGTGTTGAGTAGAAAAACAAAATCCTGAAGCATTAACTGTGCGTCCGTAAAGTGTCTTCAAGTGGAAGTCAAATGTCAACACGGTGACAGATATGACAAGAATGGCATGATACTTGGTATGACGTGGCATTGCCTGACGTGATGAAAAATGACATGACACGGCATGACCTAATTTGGTGTGAAGTGACATGGCGTGACATGATGTGAAGTGGAGTGGCATGACGTCACTTTGTATGGCGTGACATGGCTTAGCATGACGTGACTTGGCATGCCGCGCCATGACCGAATTGCCGACGTTCGGTGTGACAAGGCGTACCTTGACGTGACACGTTGTGACAGGGTAAAGTGACGTGTCATGAGGTGACGTGGCTCTGCATGACGTGAAACGATGTAACGAAGCTGTGGTGTGATGTGGACAATCTATCTGAAAGTGAAGTGGCGGACATCGAGGCGTTTGGAGGAACTTTTCTAACTCATTCTAGTTTCATGGAAGTTAACAACTCTTACTCGAAGGTCTTTGATGCTTCTGGCGAAAACGAAAATCCAAACTGCTGTGTGTCTTTTTATCGAGAAGAACAACTTGAACCAATGCCTCCAAACTCTTCACAATGATTGACTCTTGGTTCCTGACTCTTATTAGGTATTGGAGAAGTCATTAACTGTGGGACAAAGTTTCACACACGGCACTGTGACGGCGCTACACGGCGCCCAATCTAAACACATTTCTCGGGCCATATTTGTTTTTACGCAATGCGTGTCTGTTATTGTGACTTAGATAGGGATCAGCTCACATTTTAGGATCAATTTATGCAGAAATCCAGGTCATCCCAAAGTGCTTAGTGACTTCGGACATACAACGATGGGTTTTAACAATTTCAGGCAAGTAGACAGAGTTGTGCAACGTCATTGTAAATTTCTTCTGTTGCATCTCATTACCGTGTTCCTCATTTTGTGACTCGCTTTGATTTTCACATTTTTACCACACGCTGAATGAAAACACAATTTATAGCTAGTTCAAAAAGTGTTGAGTAGAAAAACAAAATCCTGAAGCATTAACTGTGCGTCCGTAAAGTGTCTTCAAGTGGAAGTCAAATGTCAACACGGTGACAGATATGAAAGTTGCAGCATTTCCTGCACATGGCCCTTGAGCAACGATCTGGAAAAAACCGTTATATTACCAAATGTGTTTTAGTCTTTTATTTATTTATTTCACATTTTCACTTTTATACTTAAAATAAATATGCTTAACACCATCACTAATTAAGTCGAAAATAGACGTTCGGTGTGACAAGGCGTACCTTGACGTGACACGTTGTGACAGGGTAAAGTGACGTGTCATGAGGTGACGTGGCTCTGCATGACGTGAAACGATGTAACGAAGCTGTGGTGTGATGTGGACAATCTATCTGAAAGTGAAGTGGCGGACATCGAGGCGTTTGGAGGAACTTTTCTAACTCATTCTAGTTTCATGGAAGTTAACAACTCTTACTCGAAGGTCTTTGATGCTTCTGGCGAAAACGAAAATCCAAACTGCTGTGTGTCTTTTTATCGAGAAGAACAACTTGAACCAATGCCTCCAAACTCTTCACAATGATTGACTCTTGGTTCCTGACTCTTATTAGGTATTGGAGAAGTCATTAACTGTGGGACAAAGTTTCACACACGGCACTGTGACGGCGCTACACGGCGCCCAATCTAAACACATTTCTCGGGCCATATTTGTTTTTACGCAATGCGTGTCTGTTATTGTGACTTAGATAGGGATCAGCTCACATTTTAGGATCAATTTATGCAGAAATCCAGGTCATCCCAAAGTGCTTAGTTACTTCAGACATACAACGATGGGTTTTAACAATTTCAGGTTAGTAGACAGAGTTGTGCAACGTCATTGTAAATTTCTTCTGTTGCATCTCATTACCGTGTTCCTCATTTTGTGACTAGCTTTGATTTTCACATTTTTACCACACGCTGAATGAAAACACAATTTATAGCTAGTTCAAAAAGTGTTGAGTGGAAAAAAAAATCCTGAAGCATTAACTGTGTGTCCGTCAAGTGCCTTCAAGTGGAAGTCAAATGTCAACACGGTGACAGGATGAAAGTAAAGTTGCAGCATTTCCTGCACATGGCCCTTGAGCAACGATGTGGAAAAAAACCGTTATATTACCAAATGTGTTTGAGTCTTTTTTGAATTTATTTATTTTTTTACATTTTCACTTCCATAGTTAAAATACATATGCGTAACACCATCACTAATTAAGTCGAAAATGTCGCAAAAAAACAAAACAATTGTTGATAAGTTCATGATGGTGCACAAGAAAAAGTATCCATAGCGCTATATCGACATATAATCCTTTGCGCTATAACGACATATTATAAAAATAATAATACAAAATAATAGTGACAAGTTGGTGAAACTTACCTGCACGAAACATCTCAGAGGTTCAGGGGCTGTTTTGAGGAGGAAAATAAGTGTTGCTCAAGTTCCTCTTCGACCAACTGAAAATATTCAGCGACAAATATATTTTTGAACAACTTTAATACGCCCAAATCCAGCAAAAACGAGCAACGCCTACAAGACGTGCAAAAGCAAATTCAAACCTCCGAAAGGTTATTTCCCCTTGTGTGGGAGTCGAATAGACGATCAACAGCAGCCTCCAGTGGCGCCGGTGTGTACTACACTTCCCCAAGTCACCAGATATGACGTCACAAAAACTGCCTTTAGAACTTTTAATTTAATTTCATACAAAACATCGTTTTTACACATCCATCCATCCAGTATCTGAACCGCTCATCCCCACGAGGGTCGCGGGCGTGTAATAACAATAACAGTAATGATCACAACAAAAGTGCTGAACTGTACGGAGACCCACACATGACAAGGGTGGAAAAAAATGTCACTGTGAACACGTAAGACACATAATTATATAATCAACCCAAACCCACTTATATCATTTAGTAGAGAAAATTATTATGAAGATGCTTTGGACCCAGTTGAAAATTGAAATATTGTTTCTCTCAGGAAAATGAACACTATGAAGAATAGATTTGCTCCATTTGCTAACCCAGTGTGCCCAGAAATAATACATCAGTCCTTTGTAGTTTGTGTATACATTATACATACTTTATGGTCACAAATTAGCATTATGTGATATCTATATCGTGGCCACAATGACATTATTAAGTCACGTTTGGGGGGTCCGTAGAACTGCGTCGGCCAGCGACGCCACATATGTGCGCGCTTACAAGTCAAAAACATTTCAGCTAACAGCCACAAAGACACGAAAACATGAGACTGGTCGCCATGGTGACGGCCAAACATCCCGGATGAGGTCGATGGATAAGAAATAGACGTGCCAGGCGCTCACACGACGGGGTAGCTAGCCAGGTTGGCGATGCCGCACAAGTTGCCACGGTTACGCGCCATCTTAATGTAGCCTTTGTTGCCCCAGCTCTCGCTCCAGCTGGCGAAAATACAAATGTGAACATTTTTAAAACGTTACCATAGCGACGTTGCCTATGTGATGATATCATGTGATGAGGATGTCACACCTGTTCTTGATGAGCCAATACTTCTTGCCCCTGGACGTCACGCCGTAGCCCACCGCCAGCACGGCGTGGTTGACGTCGTCTTTGTTGCAGTTGGGGTCATAGTAAATGCCTGGTCATGTGACAAGGGGGCGGGATGAAGTGGCATGAAGTGATGTCGTTCGAATGTGACGTGACATGATATTATGGGGCTTGATGTGACGTGACATGGCCTGGAGTGATGTGACGTGACATCAAATAGATTGGCATGGCATGGCATGACGTGATATACTATGACGTGATGTGGCTTGGCATGGCGTGCTATGGTGTGTTGTAGGTGGCGTGACATGATGTGACCTGCTGTGGCCTGAAATAAATTGACTTGTGGGATGACGTCACATGATGTGGCGGGATGTGCCTGACGACATGGCGTGACATGATGTGAGGCTTCATGCTGTGTTCACTGACCTCTCTGGTAGAACTGGAAGGTCCCCTGGGAGGCGTCAATGCCAACAGAGATTGGCCCAACCTTGAAGAGCGCCACAGCCAGGGCGTGCTCATCGCCTTCGGGAATTTCTTTGTAGCTACGGCACTCGGCAGCTGTTCCGGACGAATTGTAGCTGCATACCTCTGCCTACAGGGGGCGCAGCGAATGGAAAAAAAAGATCTATCATTTTTTTAATAGTATGCTTTCTCATTAATATATTTGGAGTCACAGTTGGCTCCACCCTGGACTGTTTGCCAGCCAATCACAGGAGACATACAGACAAACAAATAATTCAGATTCCCATTAACACCTATGGACAACCGTGGACCACCCTTAATGGATTTTTGGTAAAATAAGTCCATTTTGAAGCTCACCTGTCCCACGTAAGGGTAGGCCTCCTCTGAGTCGATACCTCCGTTGTCCCTAACGTACTTGAAAGCGTTGGTCATGTATCCTCCTCCACAGCCGCTGTTCTCCGTCACACAGTCCACCAGGTTCTGAGGGCTGAGGTCTCTCAGCTCACCCGTGGTCTTGGCCAGCTGACCTTCCAGGGCCCCCGCCGAGCTGAAGGCCCAGCACGAGCCGCATGAACCCTGAGGAACAAAACAACCACACAAACGTCGCTTCGTATTATCCTTATTAATTCGTTTCTTGACTTATTTCTTTGTTACTACACTCCGGTGTAACGCGGATTTGTTCGGATGAAGGTGCATTCTTCTATCTGTCCACTAGATGACAGCATTTCATGCTTTTAAAAAAACCTTTACTGGTTTTGAGTAAGGAAAGCTTGTGGGCTGTTGCAAATTCAGTTTTTACATGATCGCCAAATTAATTTTTTATCTCTAGGGATCGAATAGTAGTATGTATCATTAAAAATGCGATGAATTCAAGATATTATCGGAAAAAAATCCAGTCAAACGTGTCGTTAATTCAGTCTGTTGAAGGTGCATTCTTCTGTTTCTCCACTTGATGGCAAAGTTTAACCGCTTTGAATTGTCCTCATTATTCTGAAAATCCATTTCAATGTTCTTGAAACTGTGGACTTGATACTCTTTTTGCAGTTCAATCTAATACTTCAGTTCACGTTATCGTGCATGTAGGTGACATCACAAGATGACACACCTGGTCTTTGACAGGCGTCACCATGCCCATCTTGCGGTAGTCCACCGACTTGGGCAGGGGGTAGGCCTGCTGCTCGGGACTCATGGTGAAGCCCCGTTCCCGCGTCATGGGCATCTCCAAGCCCATCATCTTCTCCGCCACTTCCTCCGACGTCTGCGACCACACCAAATTCTCACATCTTTTCAGCTTTGATCGTGTCGATGACGGCGTCGGTTCACTTGTTGCCATATTTCCTCACCATGTCTCCCAGGTGGTTCATGCCTAGTTCGTACGAGTGCAGGCCCAGCGCCGCCTCCTGGTTGTGTGCCTCGATCATCAGCGCGTTTTTCTCCCAGATGGCTCGCCGGATGCCCTCCTCGTCCTGGTCGAGAGTGAACGGACACAGACCAGGGTTATCATAATTTGTATTTATTTTTGATTCTGTGTGTTTTTTTTTTAAATTCAGCTAATTGTAATTTTCAGGTTTTATTTTTGTAATTTTAGAGTTAGTTTTAGTTTTGTTGTTGTTGTTGTTTTAACCCCTTCAACATGCCGAAATGCTCACCAATTTTCGGAAGCGCTTGTATCATGGGGGAATTAAAAATAGAGATATTTAAGAGGACCCCAACATGAAAACCAAAACTCACTCTGTCGCCCCTTGGAAAGTTTGAAAAAATTAGTCCCCGACACAAAGTTTGGTGAATATGTCTATTGGGACAGGATGCATCTAAAACGGGCGGAGCACGGCGTCAACGCTTGCCGATCATATTGAGGATTCACCATGAAAAAGTTTGGGGCGCCAAGACGTGATTGTTTGCTTCTTGCAGCTTTATTTTGGGCATCGGGTGTCGTTCGCTTGCGTACCTAATAAAGTAACCTTGTCATCGGAGTGAGACAAAAGGCGGCGGCGACTTGAGCAAAGCGCACAAAGAGAAGCCGACACATTGAAAGTCATCCATCTGGGCAAATGGGTCAAATTGACGTTTTAATTAGCAACAAATGGCTGCTTGATGTCGCAGCCTGGATTCTTTAATCAGGACGATTAAAAGCAGATCACATTGCAGTCTCGAGACATCCTCCCTCTTTAGTACCACAAAATGCGGCAAATAAAGACGACGCGTGCGGGACATTAAACTACGAGCACAGTCAACTCTCATCAGTAGACCTTCTTGAGTGTTCCCCCCGCCCCCGTAGAACACGCCTAAAGCTATTTAGGCCGATTTTTATGCTGACGAAAAATAATGAGTCATGTTCCAACGGGATGCCCATTCAACATACTCGTAAAAACACGATTGTCCATAAACACCATGAAAATTTTGTTCACTGGGGTGCTTCTGTGGATGGGCCCCACC